GATTTTTATTAGTTGTAAGTGCCCCCAATTAAATTATTTATTTAAAAACAAACAAACAAACAAACAAACATGTCTCTTGCAGGCAACAGATTAATGGGGTTATGTTTTCTGAGCCAGTCTGCTAACCGTTGTCTTAATGGGTGAGTTCAGGTCATTGAAATTCAATTATTACCACCATCTGTTCATTTATTCCTGTCTTTTCCTTTTGTATTGCATGTTTTCCTGTCATATCAGTGTGCTTTGTTTATGTAGGGGCTTCCTTCTTGCCTCCTTTTCCCTCTGAGACAAAGTTATCTTTGTAATTGTTTTTGGTGCATTGGCTTCTGGATGGAGTTGGGTTATATGGTGTTCTCCTGCTTATGCTCGGTTGGTGTTGGTCTTCTGACCACAGTGAGTTGGCAAGGATTTTCCCCTGGGTTTGGTTTCTGATGGTATATTCTTTGAGTTTTCCCTTGTGTGGGAACCTCACCATCTATCTTAATAGATAATTTGGCAGGGTAGAAGATTCTTGGGTTGGCGGGGTTTTTTCTTTCAGCTTTCAGAAGATCTTACTCCACTCTCTCCTCCTCTTCATGTATCTGCTGATAGGTCTGAGTATATTCTCACATGAGCAATATTGTATGTAGCTGGTTTTTTCCCCTCTTGTTGCTCTTAAATATTTTTTTCTTTTTCCTCAAAGTTGGATAATTTAACTATTATATGCCTGGTGAGTTCTTCCTGGGGTTTAGTCTAATTGGTGTTCTTTCTACTTCCTGTATGAATATCTGATTGTCATCCATTGAGGTGTGGAAGTTTGCTTCTAGGAATTCCCTTGCTAAGTTAGCTGTAGTCTTCTTTGTTGTGTCTTGTTCTGAAAGACCAATTGTTTGAACATTGTTCCTCTTCATAGCATGTCATTGTTTTCTTCTGCCTCTTTGATTATCTTGTTTGACTGTCTTTCCTGTTTGTTGAAGTCTGCCTGATTATTCTTGAGATCTCTGGTACAATTCTTAGCCTCTTCTAGTCTGTTGGTAAGGTCCATGATCTTGTGTTTTGCTTCTGTTACTTCATCCATTTGTTCTTGTATTTCCCTTCGGTTTGTGGACTTCATGCCTTCTTTTGTGGACTTCAACTCCTCTCTCATAGTGTCCTTATTCTGTATTGCTTCTCTCATATCCCGTATTATTTTAAGCAGCATTCTGAAGATTTCTTTTTGTTGCAGATCAATATCTGTTTCTTTTAGGATTTCTTCTGTGTTGCATTTTGTTTTCCTTGTTTTCTTGTTGAGACCATTGAGGTATGTTGCTGTCTGTCATTTGGAAGATCTGGGCACCATGTTCCCAGGAGAGTGAGGGGCCCTGAGCTGTTTCTGTGCATGATTGGCAAGAGTGGTTTTTTTTGAAGAAATAATGTGACTCTATATGAGGGATTTTGTTTAGGGTAGCCTGTACCTGTGGGTTTCTGAGACTGTAGATATATATGAGTAGAACGCCTCATTTTTTGCAGACCACTAGGTGGTTTCACTGCAGACCTTTCCATTAACAGCCTAACACATAACCCACAGTTATACCAGGGCTCCTTTACAAGCCCCTAAGGTAAGGTGACCATATTTTAACATTGTTAAAGTGGGACACCATTGATAAAACTCATATCCTGGCGAAATAGCCACATGGCAGCCAAAAACCGTATACCCTAGCTTGTCATGCATTCTTTCCAAAAATCGGGACTTTTAAAAAATGCAGCAAGATGAGGGAAAAATTGTTAAAAATCGGGATTGCCCCGCCAGAAGTGGGACGTCTAGTCACCTTACCCTAAGGGTAGGTAACTACAGACCAGGGACACTCCTACTACTTGCCTAAGGTCAATCAGCTGATAGTTCGGATATCTAACTGTGTTAGTGAAACCGCTCTTATGCAACCCACTACGTCACCAGGGTTCCATAAACAATATTAGCAGGTTTAGTTACTGTGTTAGTCTGGGTAGACTAAAGAAACAAATTAATCGAAACTCATGTGAACAAAAAAGAGGTTTATATACAAGAGCAGTTAAATATTCAGGAAACATCCCAGCCCAGTCCAGTCCAAGCCCATAAGTCGGATATTATCCCATATGTCCAATACCAGTCTATAAAGTCCTCTTCAGACTCGCTAAACACATGCAATGATGGCAAGTGCAGGACGATCATAGGCCAGTGGGTAGAAAGTCTTTGGATCCAGTGGTGTTATGAGCTTCTCAGTGCTGTCAGGGGTATCCACGTGGCTTCTCCAGCACCCAGGGCTATATCAGGCTAGGTCCATATGGCTTTTGCTCAGGGATATCTCGCAGGAAGTGAGTAGAGAGAGAGAGAGAAAATCTCTCCTGACTCCAAGGAGGAAATACCAGGGTTCCCAGAATTCTCAGGAAAAGACCATGCCCACACAGAGGCCTCATTGATTATATCTTGATTGACAGGCCAGACTCCACCCCCCTTCACTCGTAATCCTCACAAATTGACACCAGATTATAAAACTACCACAGTTACCTTTTTAAGTTACCTTAAATTGAGGAGGCGCCCTGACTGTCTAGTGGTTTCATGTTGGGTGGCGATCTGCAAGGTCAGTACTTTGAAACCAGCAGCTCCATGGGAGAAGGACAGGACTTTTTACTCCTATAAACAGTCTTGGGAACTCACAGGGGCAGTACTACTTTGTCACTATGTGTCAGCAGTGACTTAATGGCAGTAAGTTTAGTTTGGTGGTTTGTAGAAGTTCAATTAAACATGTATTCTAACCTAGATACGTGTTCAATTCCTGATAACTATAGTTTGTGTCTTAAATGTATATCATTCATCAGTCTTCACCCCAAACTCTCCATGTGTTTCTCAAACCAAAGTTCTATGTAGTAAGACCTCACTTGTCTGACATCGTTCAGGGAAAATAAAATGTTTGACAAGTCAATGTTTAACACTTTCTTTTTTTTTTGTTAAACACTTTCTGATTAACTTCTTAAACAGTATCAGTACTTTTCCCTTTTCAAAACACTTTTGTAAAATATATCATACACAAACATTTTGGAAACAAACATTAAAATATAAACTTCTTGATGCGTCATTGTTGATTTGTATCTCTAATTAAATAGTTGTTCTGTTTTTCTTATTCTCTTCTGATAGCCATCTCCTGCCAATGGTTAAGCATTATTATACTGTCCATCCACTTTCTAATTTTCTATATCTAATAAACTGCGGCTTGGAAATATTGTAGCTTGCTAAAAAATTTATGTGAAAATGGTTATATCTCTGGAATTTGCTTGAAAATACCTGCTAGAGCAGTTTCGCAGGTAAAGAAGAGGATGTAAGGTCGTTCCTGAGTTGTTCATTGTTGAAACTGGGTGATGGATATAGAAGTGTTTGTTATATTAATCTGTTCTTTCTGCTTTTGTACATGTTTGAAATTTTCAAGAGTAAAAAAAGGAAAAGGAAAAATAAGAACAGTTTTAAGATACATGAATCCCAGTGCTCAGCTGTTAACTGAAACAGTGGCAGTTTGAACCTACCCAGTAGATCCATAGGAGAAAGATCTGGCAGTCAGCTCAAGGGAAGGCAGCAACCTAGGAAACCCTATACGACAGTTCTGTCACATGAAGTCACTGAAACAAAATCAGTTCGATGTTACTTAGGTACCATATGTGAGGTAGAAAAAGGCTTCAAAAACATCACGGATAAATTTCATTATCTTTAAATCCTGTTTTCCACAAACTTTCTGAAGCACTCCTACATAATTACATTTTTATTTCTTTGGGTTTTGTTTGTTTGTTAAGATTCACAAAAATTTGTTAGCATTTATCATTGAGCAGAAAGATTGGGAGATACTTTTTATTGTCTTTGTGTTTAGTGACCTTTTTAAAATCTATTTGTATTGTGTTTATTTTTTAAATATGTGTATGTGATATATATTTGTTTCTCTTGATGTGTTCCTTATCAGGGAGAAGATACACTTCCTCATTTGTAAATAGGAAGTACCCATGATACCTGGCTTACACTACTGTGAGAGTCCTACACCTCTATATGTTAACACATCTTTACTAAAGATTTTAAAACTGGGTTCTTTTTGAAGGACTAAAGAGCCATGTTTGGGGTCTCTGTTATAGATATATCATACTTTAAAGACATCTTTTTTGGTAGCTGGGTTTAAAGATCTTACAAATTGGTCTTTGGAGTGCCCTCTATCACCTCTGCCAGCACAGTGCCTTGCTCTACAGCCAAGGCTACTCTCAGACTCTCTTGTAGGTTTTGTTTTCTTCCTTACACTCTTGCACTCTGTAGTTCTGTTCTTTCATTTGAACCTTCTGCTCCTTTCTTTGTGTACTCAGTGAACAGAGTATTGAGTATTGTGTGAAGTAGATACATACATACAAGCTGTGTAATGTAAACGCAATTGTAAATCACCCCAGACATACTGAATTCACAATTAGGCATTTCCCCGAGGTGGGAGTGTACATCGGTGCCTCTTTGTGAGGTCTAACCAAACCAAGCTCATTGCCACCGAGTCAATTCTGACTCCTAAGTTATACAAAATCTATTATAATCTAAAATGTACTTAGTCATTGTTATACCAATTCCTCTGCTAGAAATTTATCCTAAAGATATATTCTCACATGTGTGCAAAGGTACACGTGTACAGAAGAAGGAACAGTGTACAGAAACTGGCTGATATGTTAGTACAAAGAATAAAAGAGTTTGGGGTAGGACACAGACTTATTTTCTTATTACTGTATATACTCGAATACGAGCCAACCCAAATGTCAGCCAGGGCACCTAATTTTACCACTAACACTGCATTAAAAATGTGCTGAAAAACTCAGCTTAAACACAAGTTTATATGGGATATGTCTTTTGAAATTCACTTTTAAAAAAACCTTATACAGTTACTGTTTTTTATAGTAAAGAGAAAAGCTAATATAAGATTAGCTTCTTACCACCTGTAATAAAGCACCAACAGGTTCTTATTCTTAATGAATTTTCTTGATTTTGTGTTTATTCAAAGGTCAATGAGGCTGACAGTGGATGTATTTGCTGGCTAAACCTGACTTTATATGGAGTTGACTCCTTGACATTTCTGAATCTATTATTTGATCAGCAAGAATCAGTTTCGGATGGTAGGACTTATTATAATTTCATTTACATTTGTGCATACTGCATCTATACATACATAATTTTATGTAAATATGGGCATAATAATACACGTCACTTAATGTCTGCCATATAGTCTGTGAAATAGGACATTATGTGATTTGGGTGTTGTACAAACTGTGTATCACAATTGTATATATTCAATACACATGTATTATGATAACCCTCATGCAAATTGCTCTGGCTTTTATAAACTCGCAGTTGGCTGCCTTCGGTCCCCAGGATCCTTGTTGGAATCTGAAGTTCCTAGGCAAGGAGCTAGCAGAGCGATGGATTTTCAACCTGGGGTAGTTGGGCGAGACACTCCCAGCAGAATTCCTGGCAGCCACAGATAGGGGATGCCACACTTTATCAACAAATTAGAATGCAGGCTACAGAAGGGGGGAGTTTGGGGGAGCCATGTGGGGTCACTGTAAGTTGGAACTGACTCAATGGCAGTGAGTTTGGGGTTCTTTGTTTTTCAAGTTATATATTCAATAAATCTATATATTTAAAATATATTTCCTAAATTCTATCATTTAACCACAAAAGATTGACAGTCCAATCCAAAATTGGGCAAAGGAAATGAACATTTTAACAAAGAGAGTATTCATATGACCAACAAGCACATGAAATGATGCTCATTGGCATTAGTGATTCCAAGTCCAAACCAAACTCATTATCGTGTCCATTCTGACACATAGCAAGACTATAGGACAGAATAGAACTCTCTCATAGAGTTTCCAAGGTTATAAATCATTTTGGAAGCAGACTACGATATTTTTCTTCCAGGAACCAAGTGGCAAGTTTGACCTGATCTTTCACCACTGCACTATCCTTACTTCTCTGATAGCTGCTAGAATCAAAACATAGTGAGATACGTGCTCACACTTGTTTGAATGGCAGGGACCCAACAAGCATTAGACATTAGATATTTGCGAGGTTGTGGAAAAACTGGAACTCATCCATCTTAGTGGGAATGTAAAATAATACAGCCACTGTGGAAAACAGCTTCCCTGTTCCTCAAATTATTGAACATAGAACTACCATGTGACCGAGTAATCCCATTCCTAGGTATATACCCAGGTAAATAGAAGACAGGAATGCAAACAGAAACCTGAAGCACATTTTACAATAGTCAAAAGATGGCAATAGCCTAAATATCTATCAATAAATAAACCAAAAGTGACATAAACACAATGGAATGCTGCTCAGTAATACAGAAAAATAGCGTCTTTTGCATGCCACAATATGGATGAAACTTGAAGTCATCATGCTGTGTGAATTAAGTCACAAAAGGATAAAGGTGGTCTGGCTTTATATATGTGAAATAAGAACATATATAGACACTGTATATTATCAGTAGGTACTGGAATGGGAGGGACGGGAAAGGGGAAATTTGTGCTTAGCGGGCATGAGTTTATTTTATTCATGGTAAACTGATTTTCAAAGGGGTAAGGACAGTGGGTACACAACTTGAAGAATGTTATCAGTGTCACTGAATCTTCCATGTAGAAATTGTTGAGATGATGGATGTTTTATTATGTGTATATTTATCAAAAATAGCAAATGTGTTTTTCCCCTTGATTGATGCCAGTTTTGTATTAACCATTTAAAAATTAATTTATTCTTTCTTTGGGGATTAAAATTTAACCTTTTATTTGCACGTTTCCTCATATGTACTGGGACCTATATTTAAGTTATTTTGTGTGTCTATTCCTATGTCAGTTGCATTGATGGGATTATAGTGGGTTTTCCATAAATTCTCATATCTATTCAAGGAATTCCACTTTTGCTTTTTATCTTTTGTACTATCTTATTTGTGATTCTTGAGCTCTTTCTACCCTTGTCAACATAAAGAGCATATTTTTGGACTGGCATAGTGGGCTGCACACTGAACTGCTAACCACAAAGGTCAGCAGTGTGAACTGAACACATCAACCATTCTGCAGGTACAAGAAGAGTCTTTCTGCTCCTGCAAAGATTAGAAGTCTCAGAAAGCCAAAGGGGACAACTCTAGCCTGTCCTATAGGGTCACTATGAGTCAGAATCAACCTGATAGCAGTGAGGGTGTTTTTTTTAATGTATAAAGTTAAAGTTATTCATCAATATTAGAAAATGTACCTCTGTGAATGGAATATCTTTCCCATTTTTCCTTAGGATTTCATGCCAAACTAGAGAACCTTTTATTAATTAAAGATATATCATGTTGTCAGGTGCTATAGAGCCAGTTCTGATCCATAGCAACCCTGTGCACAACAGAACTAAAGAGTGCCCGCTCCTGTGCTATCCTTGTGATTGTGCCTATCCCTGAGCCCATTGTTGCAGCAGCTGTATCAGTTCATCTCCTAAGGACCTTTCTAACTTTTGCTGCCCCCTCTACTTTACCAAGCATGATGTCCTTCTCCAGGGACTCATCTCTCCTGACAACAGGTCCAAAGTAAATGAGAAGAACTCTCACCACCCTTACCTCTAAGGAGCACTCTGGCTGCGCTTCTTCCAAGACAGATCGGTTTGTCCTTTTTGCAGTCCATGATACTTTCAGTATTCTTTGCCAACACCACAACTCAAAGGCATCAATGGTGGGTTTGAACTTACCTATAGTGTCATACTTCTTAATTTTTTTAATTCATTTTAATTTTTAATTTTGTTTTGATGTGGGTTTCTGTTTATTTTATCAGATCATTAACAAGATTTTTTTCTTTCTAATATGTACATCAGTAATTAATTTTCTTATTTTCCATCTTGTTTTTTTTAATTTATCAATAATTGGGAGTTAATACATATATAATGCCATAGTTCAATCACATCAAGCAGAATTGTACAATTGCTACCACAATCATTTTCCAAACATTCTCTTTCTTCCAGGACTCTTTGCCATTGTCTCTTTCATCTCCCTATCACCATGGTATGTGTACCCCCCCCAAAAAAAACCCCACAAACAAACAAAAAAACCCTTATTCTACTACCTGTCCTGAGAGGCTCATCAATCTTGGGTTTCTTATACCAAAACACAGAAAAACATATAACATCTTCATGAAGATGACCTCCAATGACATAACTCACTGATTTTCTTATAAAGTTTGCTATATAGTCTTTGAGTGTATAGAACTATAAAGAGGTTTGTGGGATTTCCATTCTACTTCCTGATTTTTAAAATTTGACTTATTGAATGAGTAATAGCATTCAATTTAGTTAAAATTTAAATTTTATTGGGGGCTCGTACAGCTCTTATCACAATCTATACCTACATCCATTGTGTCAAGCATATTTGTACATATGTTGCCATCATCAATTTCAAAACATTTTCTTTCTACTTGAGCCCTTGGTATCAGCTCAGTTTTCCCTCTTAAAATAAAAATCTTAAAGTTTCTTATGAACAGTCTACTTCCCATACCGTTCCTATTCCATCAACTTTTTACATAAGTATTCAAAGTAACCACAGCATTGAGTTGACTCCATCTCCTAGCAACCCTGTACAGTTTCTGAGACTGTACGTCTTCATTGGACCAAACAGCTTCACCTTTCTCCAGAGGAGTGGCTACTGGGTTTGAACCCCTCACCTTGCAGTGAGCATCTCAGTGCTTATTCCACTGTGCCATCAGGGCTCCTTGTACATATATTTCTGTACATGCTTGAAAACAAAAATCATTTTCCCCCAAAATGCCCTCCCCCACTTGATAAGATTGGATTTCTTAAGTACGTTTATTTTCTGCCTCTTACTTTTTCCCCTTCTTCCCAGTAAGAACTTGGGAATACTTTTACTCCTACCTCCCTCCAGCTAACTTGCTTACTAATGTTTTTATGTTGGATAGTTTTGTACATCCCAAATTAAAACTTAAGAATTTGTTGGGGTAGAATCCTCTCTCAAAAGTCTTAAGTCACACATTCCTAGACCACCATATAGATATATTGTATGATATAAACTATGAACTTCAACACTCGTAATATTCTTAATCTTTCTTTTTTAACAGTTTTGTTGGCACTTCTTCCACGTGTCATACAGTTCTCTTAATCTTGATCACTAGTTTACTGTTCCAGTATATTTTTTCTTCACTTAGAGCCCTTTCTTTTTCTATTACAGTACCTGAAAGGATACACTCTCTAAATTTTGCATATCTGAATATTTTCATATAAGATGTATTATTTGTTGATATAGAATTATTTTTGGGGAGGGAGGGGAAAAATGAGGACCTAATGCCAGGGGCTTAAGTGGAGAGGAAATGTTTTGAGAATGATGAGGGCAATGAATGTACAAATGCGCTTTACACAATTGATGTATGTGTGGCTTGTGCTAAGAGTTGTATGAGCCCCTAATAAAATGATTAGAAAAAAAAGAATTATTTGCTCTCAACAGTCTTCAGTTCTCTTAAGTACAGATGAAAAATCTAATTGTTTTTTTTGTAAGTATTTGCTTTTTCTAGCTGAATGTTTGAATGTGATTCAGCATCAGTAGACTTTCATTGCTAATACCCTCTTTTTTGTATATTTTTATTTAGTTCTTAACTCTATTTTTAAGTTAAAAAAAATCTGTTAACTGTGAGAGCTCTCTAAAATTGAGCCTGAGAATAGAGAATCATAGTACCTTGATTATTTTGTCATATTTTCAAAAGGACATTTTATTTTATAACATTTTATACTCATTTATATCTGAAATATTAATAACATCTATCCAATGATCTTTAGTGATACAAATCCTAAATACTTCTTCAATCTCAGTTTCCCAGATTGTATGATGAGTGCTTTAGATGATTATTTCTTAGATTCTTTGATTCAGTTATAGCATGATTGTCATGCATATAGAATAAAATCAGCATCCACTGCTAGGTATTTAAAGGCCATCTGTAAAAATGTAGATTGCCAGCAACACTGTCTAAACATACCTCATCATCTCCTTACTTTCCACCCCCTAGAATCATTCCTCCACACTTTCTCACCTCCCTCTACATGGCTTGACAAAGTCCTATTCTAAACTTCAGATAACAGCTCTGAACTCACTCTTAGAAATTCTTTCCAGATCTCCCTAGCCTAAATTAATTTCCAAATGGCAGTTCTCGTAATTGTGGTCTGTAATTTCCATCCCCCCAGTTTAATATTAGGAGCTCCAGTAAGACTGGGACCATATTTTACTCATATGACTATGGATTTAGACCAGGACAAATACATGCTTAGTATATTTCAACTAAATTTGAACATAAGAGTTGATTATTTTAAAAGTGTATTGACCAATAATTGTCTAATGCTGGTGTTGCTCTTTTGCCTAGAATATGCAATCAGAAACATTTATAGTAGATTTCATTTGTATTTTACATCTCAGGAATGATATTTCTTAATTCCCTAAGAAAATTAACCACAATAGGAAGTTCATTAGAGATATAATTTAGGATATACAAATATGAAAGATTTATAACTTCACCCTGTTCATTTTGCATATATTATTAGTCACTTTAAGATACTTTGGCCTGGTTTCATTTGAATTAGAACTGAATGTGTATTTTAATGCGAGAGGTTTTTACATCAATATTGCAAATTGTGCCTAATTTATATTAAGATTAGTCATCTCTAGTTTGAAATTGCTAATAAGTTCAGCCACTAATACATGATCCTTAGTTCCTAAACAGTCAGTAGTAGATAACAGTTGTTACTAAGATCTGTGTGAAGTGAAAGGGGTTAATGCACCTGAATCTGCATAAAGCAGTAAAATGCAAATCAGAAGGTTGAAGTATCAGACTCACTCCATTATTTTCCTTTTCTGTGCTCAATAATCTGAATGCAACATGAGTATTCCTGTGTTTTTTTAAATTGGTAGTAATAGCCCCTCACCATTTCATAACTTGCCAAGTGCTTTATCACCCCCATGAAAACATTTTTAAAGAAACTTAATGTAGTAGTTTTTTGAAGTAGTTATCCAATATCCCTGCTTTAGAGATTCAGAAATTGAATATTAGAGAAATTCTAATTCACTCAAGATACACTAGCAGTAAAATAAGTAATATACTTGAAAACACACTTCAGTTTATTCTAGGTTACAGTCTTCCAGTTTTTCTCTGCTTTGGATTTTTTTTATGGAAAAATGTGTATTTTCGTAATAATGGTGATGATTTGAATTAAATGGAGTAAACTTTTGAATAAGAAATTTTGAGTGGGACACATATGTCCCACGACGTATTTGGTGCTGGGATTGGTAAAATAAACCCTATTTCTTCTGATTCACACAATTATTTATGCAGGCTACCACCAGATGGCAGCATGTACTGAAAGTGGGATAGCAGCTTTCCACTAGACCTCTTAAGTGAAAATGTATGCCCCAGAGGTCATAAATATTATCAAATGTTATCTTGAATGTCACTGTAGTTTTGAGTTTTATATGTTTAAGTCTATTTTTCTACAAGTAGTCAATAACAGATTAAAATTCAAGGTGTGACTTTAATTAGTTTTCCAAGTTAAGTGTGTTAAGCCCTTTTAAAATTTGTTTCAAACAAATGTTTCTAAATTATAAGATTTACATGTTAAGTAATATTTAAAACATGGTTAGCTTATATTAACTATTAATGGCCTTAACTTATATGACTTAAATTTTATTCAATATGATTAACACAAATATTTCTGAACTTTGTTTTCTACAGAATGTTAAATAAGGCTGTTCATCTCTGTAAAGCTTATTGATTCGCCTCATGTAAAGTATGCTCAGTTCCTTTCCAGTGGTGTAAGTATCTAGTATTTCTCTTCATTTTTATCTTGTTATTTTATTAAGGTAAGAAATAACTATGATTAAGATCCAAGTTTGACAGCAGACACTTTTAGACTGGAAATAAATTTTAGAATAGAATTAAATGGTACACATAGTTGACATTAAAGTGAGTGAGTGTAATTGTGAGGAATGGATTCTCAACTCTTAACAACTTTTTACATTTTGTGTTCAACTTTACAATCTGGCATTGATTTTCAATTGAACGTAAAATTACTGTATTTTTAAAAACTGGTGAATAGCCTAGATAGAAGGTTGAGAAATAGATGGTTAATCATTCAAGAGAGCTAGTGTTTGATTTCTTGTGAAAAGTAGAATATTGGAATGTGTTACCTTAATGCTGCTTTCTGTGTGCAAACTCCTGGCATCTTAGCAATTTCCCTTTAACCACGGGGGATAGTAATGTAGTTATGCCTATTAGCTAATGTATTTGCTAGCCTTTCTTGTGAGCCAGGCAAACAAATACAAATTGCAATGGCGGTATTATGTTGAAAATGTTTTTGTGCTAGGATAGGAACTGCAACCACCAGTTCATATTAAATAGGCCTATGAATAAAAGTATTCCGGGAATTTCAGATATTAGAGAAGATAAAGTATCTATTAGCTCATTAAGTGCATCTTTAAAATCTAATGCAGAGTGCCTTTAGTATAAGTATTTTCTAAATTTTGATGCAGTCTAGGGTTTGATTAAATTTCTTCCGTTATGGTTGACAGTTGTATAATCCAGTAAGTAGACATTAAAGTAAGTTTTCCTTATTATTTAGGTTTTTCCATTAAAGTGTTTCTTTCCCTCTCAACGACTCCAGTGAAATTTCTGGAATAGGCCCAAAATGTGAACTACACATAGTCATAGTTTTTTCTTTTCCTAGTACTTATTAATTGCTTTTCCCAATATCCATCAGAATGTAAGCAAGGCCAGGAAATTGTACCTGATTTGTTCCCGTTGCTTCTTAGGTGCCTTGTACAGTGTAAGGTATATAATAGATACTCAATTAGTTGAACGAATGATTTTATTTTTCTTAGTGGTCTCCATTTCTCTGACTGCAATTGTAATTTATATTTTCCTTTGTAAATTTACATATTTAAATGGATTATTCCCCCCCACGTGTGCATAAAGTGACTACCAATGCACAATTTAAAAATACCCACATTGCTATGACATGTATTAACTATAACTTTTTCTTGAAATTTTTTATTATGAAAAGAACATCTTTATACCACAGTGTACAGTCATAACCTATTTTATGTGTCATCCTATTTTCCAATTGATTTGAATTAAAGAAACTTTTTTTCCCACATGTCAAGTTTAATCCCCAGTAAATCTTCATTTCTCATTTAATCTCGATATTTGTCATTTTCTTAGTTTAAGCTGTCACTCCTTCCACAAGTAGTAATGATTGGAAAAGGGGGCAGTGTGCTATAAATAGTATAAGGGACTGAGTACAAATTGGTTGATGAATATTATGATTGACTCCAGCTTGTATTAGATCACCATACAGTAAATAATACATATGCAAATAAATCTAATTTATTTTGCCTAGTCACTGTAGATAAAAATATAAAAACATCAGAAGCAAGCTGAAGGAAAATCTTATTAAATCTTTACATGGAGTAATGATGTCCTCTTCCTCCCATGAGAGTTCAAGGTTAATAATTTGTGAATGTGTCAACCTTCCTTGCTTCACAAGTTTGTGGAATTTTGTTTAAAAAGGTATGCTTGAACCAATGTCTTATCAAAGATGGGCTTATGTACATATTTAAGTAATGACAGCATTTGTGGTAGAATAGGTTTACTTACCTTCTCATTGGATGATCTTTTGAAACAGCATTTTAGGTACTAAGCCGTGATTTCTGGATTTAATTGTTCTTTTATGCTTTAAACATTGCCTGTGTTAATGCAGTGCCAACATTCTTCTCACATCATTTCTAATTATTGTTGGCCTGAGTCTGCATTCAGATCAGTAATTTAAAGTGAAAGATATTTCCTATCCTATGAACCACCCCTGTGCTACTTAAAGAAAATTAACTCTGTTCTTATGTCCTATCTTCTGTTATAAAAAAAAAATACTGGTATCACGTGCTTAGATGACCTTTGTAGGTCATTTACTGCCAGAACTCCACGAATATGTGCTTGAACTAAAACACTGTGAGAATTAAAATGTGGAAATGACAAATTAGATGTCTTTGTGTATGGTAAGGCATACTGGAATAATATTTTATGTGTCCAAGAGAGCTTCTATTCCTGATGTTTTTGCAGTAAAATATTGTACACACGTGTGATTTGTTCCTACTTGTTATGTATATCCTCCCTCATCATTCTCTTCTATATTTATCACAAACTCCATTCAAACAATTGTGGAGCTCTGTGCTGTAGATATTGTGATAATAATACCATTTAGAAAAATTAGTACTAAATTAGTTTTAGGAGTTGGAGATTAATGATTTCCCAAGTGTCCAACTTTTCCAAAATGCTACTCACCTAATTTTTTCCCCCCCGTGAACCACCCCCACCCATTTGAGTATACAGTATTTCCTCACTTTTGAGGAAATGTCTCATGTGGTGGTGGGTGCGATTCAGTCCAAAATCCGAAGGTTGGGCAGGGATCAGCTAAATGCAAGGCCCAGAGCTAGAAGCCAAAGATGTCCAAAAGTCACAGCATGTCCTCTTGCTTCTACCAAGCCTCAGTTGGGAGGAAGAGATCTAGCTTTTCAGGTGAGGCAATACATGTTAGAACCAACATTTTATGCCCTACCAAAAATGATGTCTTAAGTCACAACATTCAAGGTAAAATCAAAGCTGCCCTTAAGGAAACAAATGATGTGGCCCACTTCACATCTTCTACTGAAGTGGGGTCTTAAAAGATACTCTAAAGCAGTGGTTCTCAATCTTCCTAATGCTGTGACCCTTTGATAAACAGTTCATCAAGTTGTGGTGACCCCCTCCCATCCAACTGTAAAATTACTTTTTTTTAATCGTTTTATTAGGGGCTCATACAACTCTTATCACAATCCATACATAAATCAATTGTGTAAAGCACATTTGTACATTCATTGCCCTCATCATTCTCAAAACATTTGCTCTCCACTTAAGCTACCGGCATCAGGTCCTC